TGTTGATTTCCCTCGATCCATAATAGAAGGATGGAAGGACAATGGTTACTAGAGTGCATTGGAGAGCTGACTGTAGAAGATCAAAGAGGTAAACCTCTTTTGAATGGATAAAGCCTTGTCAGTTGATCCCCTCTCCTATGCACGTTCGGCCTAATATTGTTTTCAAGTTTTTCTTTTTTTTTTTTGTTTGAACATATTGGGATTTACCACAGATGTGCTCTTGAATTTTTATTATATGTTTTTCAATATATGCAACCCAGGATTGATGAACCTGTAGGGACACCAAGTAGAATAAAGGCTTCTGAGGGGTACAGTGGGGGGGAGGGGTTTGAAAGAGAGCTGATGTCAAGAAGTTCAGGAAGGAAACTAATGTTTTGAATCGATTGTGGTAGCAATTGTACAATACTATTTGATGTGATTGAACTATGGTATGATATATCTTTATTCACTCCCAATAAAATGGTTTTGATTAAAAAAGGAGAAGAAAGAAAGAAAAAAAACCAAAGGCCAGTCTTTGGAGAAGGGGCATCGTCTTGGAAAAGCAGAGGGCAGGGCGAGAGGGGAAGGGCCTGCAGTTGATGATGGACTGACACAGTGAACGCAACTGTGGGCTCCAGCATGAGAGCCCTTGTGAGGGGGAGATCGCCCGGGACTGGGCAGGGTTTCGGTTCTCCATGTGTGGGTTGGAACTGGCTCAGTAGCACCTGAGAACAACAAGGAGAAATCTCTAATGTACTAAGCTCTGTGTGATGACAGCACACCACTTGGAGAAGCTTCTATGCGTTCTACGCTCTGAGACTTTGGAAATGGATTTGAAGCAGGGTCAGCTGGCTGCCCTAGAAAACATGATACGATCTGTACAACACCTTGGGTTGATGGGGAAGTGGCATGTGGTTTGTTGAGCTTGATTGAGGGTTACAGAAGGCTAAGCCTTTTTCGAACCATTTATGGGACTGCCATGTGTTCATGTGAAGCCTGTGCACACATCAAGAAGCAGCATTCGAACAGGACAAGGGATACTGCGTGGTTTAAAATCAAGAAAAGGGTGTGGCAGAGTTGGAAGCTTTCAGGATACTTATCGAAAGAATCTGAGACGTGGGACATTATGAAGAAGACACAGGTGCTCCACAGGAGTGGAGGGAGGCTCATGAACAATCTGCGCAATCTGATACCTGGCCACTTGACCTCCCTCTTGACCCATCCTGAATTTGCTCTAGCTTTAAATATGTCTCGCTTGTTCCACAACAGAACATTTGTGGTCTTTTTTTCCCTTCATTTTTATTTATTTATGTTTTGTTGCTTTTATTGTTATTATTATTCTACTATGTTTCCCAGTTTTTGAGACACAGAAGGAATGGATGCATGGACACAATAACTGATGTAATATTTTATTGGGGGTGGGGGAGGTTGAGGAATATTGGAGGGCGGAGGGAGCATTAGAACTGATTGCGAGGGTGTAGATACAATTCTTTCTTAAAGCAACCTAACTATGGAAGTGTACAACTTGTGAATTTTTTATAAATAAGATTATTGGGGGGGAAAAAGAAACTGGGATATATAGATGATGCACTCTTACTTGCTAAAAGAGGAGCGGGCATGAAGTACTTGATGAAATTCAAAGTCTACAGCCTTCGGTAAAGATTACACCTCAACATAAAGAAAACAGAGACCCTCCCACGTGGACGAATAAGCAATACCAATCAGGATCAAGGGGAAACGGTTCAAGCCGTGAAGGATTTCATTTTACTTGGTTCCATAATCAATGTCCATGGAAGAAATAGTCACTAAGTCAAATAGTACATTAAATTGGGCAATTTTAGTACCAAAGACTTCTTTGAAGTATGGAAAAGCTGGCCCTTCAGAGTGAGGTGAGTCTGACGGAAGCCATGTCTTTGCATCATCCCGTATTCGTGAGAAAGTGGGAAGATCAGAAAACCAAAATGAATGACGCCTTTGAATAGTGTTGGTGGAAAATATTGGCTACACCATGGGCTGACAAGAACAAACAAAGCCTGTCTTGGAAAAAGTCGTGCCAGAATTCTTCTTAGCAACAAAGAGGGCAAGACTTCTCACAAGCTTTGGACATGTTATCAGAAGGGACCAGGACCTACAGAAGAAAATTGTGTTTAGTAAAGTAGAGGGCCAGGGATAAAAAGGAAACATGGACATCATAGCATATAGAAGTTACTCCTTTCTTGATTCTTTTTCTCTCCTGATATTTTCCCTAGAAGAAAAATTCCTCATGGTACTAGTGTGTTTCAAACACCTGTCTTAATTACAAATCACTTTTGTAACAAAAAGAAAATCAACTAAGAGACTCAATGCCCTCTGCACAAGAAGTTATCTAGTTATAATGTTTAAATATTGACGGGCCTGCTATTTTTATAGTCATTTTCTATTTATGACATGTAACACTGCTAGTTAGTAGTGGTGACAACATGTTTTCTCTAAAGTAGATTTATTTAATTCCCAAATGAATGTCAATTTAAAGAAATCTTATTTAGAAGACAATGCTATCTAGCTGGGGAAAATGTCTTAGGTGAAATATAAATGAGTGAAGTGTGGGAAACAGCAAGCTGATGGGAAATAAAGTTAACTGGACAGTAAGAAAGCAGGCTTGCTGTCCGAGTGGGTTAGGTATTGGACTGCTAATTCAAGGCTGGTTCAAACCCACCAGCTGCTCTCTGGGTGAAAGATAAGACTATCTGTTCCTGCAAACTGTGGCCCATCTAGGAAACTCTATGGAGCAGTTCTCTGTCCTATAGAGTCACTATAGGTTGGAATCAGACATATGGCAGTGAGTTTAGACATGACACTTTGTTATGATATCAAATTCTGCTGCTGCCATTAGTTATTGGATTGTTCTTATGCAAGATGATGAAGCTGTCATCCCTCTGTTTCCTCATTATCCTGTAAGTGTACTAACATTCTCTAAGCTACCTTTCCAGTAATGATATAAAGATTAAAGCTCAGTGGTGGAGAGTGAAATAGGATAAAAGTTGAAAATTGAATGAATATCATTTTTGATTATTGTCATTATATATTTGAGAGTTCCCTTTAATTTTTCTATTCCAACCAGAAAATAAGATTATAATTATTTAGGAAGAATATTATATCTGTTTTCCAGCTAGGAACTTGCCAACAAGATTAAGAGCATTTGTGTGTGTGTGTGTGAGAGAGAGAGAGAGAGAGAGAGAGAGAGAGAGAGAGAGAGAGATAAAGAAGACAAAGACAGAGACTGGCTTCAGCTATATAATTTCTACTTTGTTATTTCTAAGTATAAAACCTGTAGTTGTCTTTTTCAGATTGAATAGCTATTTTACTAGTTTTTACATGATAAAAGAATCTTTACAATGGAATTATATTTTAAAATAACCTAATTATATATTTTTTCCTCTTAGAGTTTAATAAAAACCAGTATAACCTGCCTGAATAGTTAAAGAAGTGTTAAAAGTAATAGAAATTTAGTTACATATTAAAATTGATCCTTAACTTGAATTAATATTTGAAAATGTGCTTACCATCTTGTTTTATTGTGCTTTAAACCTTGCATTTTTGACATAATGTCAGGCAGCTTTTCACAAGTGATTTTACTATCATATAATGTAATTCCCCATAGACTTCAAAATGTCATTTTTCAATTTAATATTTTTATTTGCTTTGAAATAAAAGTTGCTTTTTAAGCTAAGATATAATGTTCAGTTAAATGTCTGATATGTTTTAGTATCAACTGATTTACTGTATTGAGTCATAGCTATAGTTTATTCTGAAGAAAAAAATACAACTCATTTTTAGCTTATCAAATTCATTGCATAAATAAAAAATACCTATACACATGCAAATACAGATAGTCCCTGGGTTATGAATCATACCCTACTATCTATATCTGTCTACCCATCCATCTATCTATCTATTATCTATATAAGCCTGTTATATGAAACATTTGAGGTACATACAATGATTTTTAATAACTAGAAGGTGTTAATATTTGACTGCACCAAACCATTATTATTATTACTGTATCATTATGTTAAAGACATTTTAGTGTATCTGGAATTCTTCCTTTGTGCATAGAGAAGTATACTGCATATGATATACTAAGTCAAGCACTTGACTAACTAGTGTCAGACACAAGTTATACCTGCCTACTCTTAGCTATATACAATGTAGACTTCAAGCAGACCTAAAACCAGAACGTGTTCATAATCTGGGGACTGCCTGCCTTGTCAACAATTGTAGTTTCTTTTCCATTTTACTAAGCAATGTCTATTGGAACACTGTTGCTGCCAAATTAGGAAAAGTAGACACCCTACCCTGTATATAAATACTCACATCTGGTCTACAGCCATGATCCTCAAACAATCTCTTATCAGAATCACCTCTGAAACTGGTCCAAAGATGTTCTTGGGCCACAGGCACACTTAGAATTTCTGACTTTCCAGGTCTCAGATGGGGCCAGAGAATGTACATTTCTAACTTTTCGAGCAATATTGATGATGCTTGTTGGAGCAAGGACCACACTTTGAGAACCATTGGTCTAATGGAAGGCAGGAACACAGAGTGGTGACGATCATGGTCTTTGGTGATAGGCCTACATTTCAGTTCTAGTTTTGAAACTTCCTATCTTTGTAACTTGGACAAGTTAAAGATCAACTTTTCTGTCTTCAAAATAACAACTGGTGCTAGTGGTGATAGTGAATGAAATAAGGCACAGTTAGTAAGAACAGTATATAGTCTTCATAGAAAATATATATATATACATTTCTCTTAGTTCAGTTTCAGAAAGTTTATTAGTATTTGCCAGGGAAGTCTAGGTAGAGATATTCTAGAAGAAACATTCTGAGCCACAAGTCAATTTATAGGAAAAGTAGTAGCCCAAGGAAAGACACGTTCGAAGGCAGGTAGGAAGATGGAACTTGGCTTGAAGTCTGCATGGAAGTTTGTTTGTGAAAGAAGCCTCTCTTTGGAACTCACTACCTTTGTTTCTTGTATTCCTTTAGCAACAAGAACAAGACCCAACAAACCTATACATCTCCAATCTCCCTATTTCCATGGATGAGCAGGAGCTGGAGAACATGCTGAAACCCTTTGGGCACGTCATTTCCACAAGAATCCTAAGAGACGCCAATGGAGTTAGCAGAGGCGTTGGCTTTGCCAGGTGAACCCCCTTCTCTATCTGTGTTTTCTCCTCATTGTTCCCTTTTGAAATCATGTGTTTCTGGTATTAGGGCCAAACCAAGAGAATATGCAAAACAAAACAAACAAAAAAGAGTTTATCAGAGCATCTCTCTTTGTGCCTTTGCTTTGAGCCCCAAAATTCCAGTGTAATTATAAATACTTCGTGCTTGCTAAAATATGTACATAGAATGTTTATATATGTCTTGAGCCATAATGATATGCATACTCAGCTCCCAGGCCTCTCTGCGCCTGTAGATCAACAAAATCAAATGCTGCCAATTTCTGTCGGGAATAATAAATGGCCACAACCTCAAAGCAAAAGAGCCCAGGTGCTGAACAAAGCATCCAAATATTTTTACACCGCCTTACCAAGAAGAGAGATGGTCGAATTTCTTTGCAGGGCAGAAATATGAATGTTTTAGAGAAACATGAATTGTTGGGAATTCCCAAGGAACCCAGACTTTTAAGGGGAGGTCAAGAGGGTATTTGCGTTTAAGTGGCCCTAGCTGTGTGCTTTTGATGTTTTATTCAGGACATAAAAATAATAATAAATTGCTCTTCTTTCATTGTTGGAAAAAGAAGCGTCGTTTTCATTTTAACTTTAAGGAAATGTTTACACAGGAAGATCACAGCCAGGAATGAAGTCAAAATGGTTGTACCTGCTGTGTTTTCATGACAAACAAAGCTAGAAAAAACACCGACAAAAGACTGTGCTGCAGAAGAAAGAAACAAAGCAGAAGACGTGTCCCAGGGTGCATTGACCTGTGTCTCCAGCTGACTTTACAAGGATGAGTGGAAGGAGGTTATGTGCCACATCTGAAGTCAGTCCGTTGCTGACATTGACCACTGAAGAGAAACCCTCTTCTCACTAACATCGAACTGATGGCAACCCCTAGCAACCCTATAGGACAGGGTAGACCTGCCCCTGTGAGTTTCTGAGATTCGAACTCTTGACAGCAGTAGTCTTTACTGAAGTGGTAATGTTTCGCTTGCGAAACAACTGGTGGTTTGAACTGTGACCTTGTGTTTAGCAGCCAACTGTAGAACCACATTGTCACCAGGGCTCCTTAAGATGAATTCTGCTATGATATAGGAAATCATTCCCAGCCAACCTTAAGAGATAGCATTGTATTATAAAGGCCCACTGATTTCTAACTTGACTTCCTTGAGATTAAGGACTGTGTTAGACAGGGTTCTCTAGAGAGTAAAACCAAATTCCTGATAATATAATATATTTATTTATAAAGATAATTAATATATAACAAAAAATGAAATGTTAAATCATAAAGATAATTAGATAAATAACGAGAAATGAAATGTTAAATCATATACAGATAAATATACAATACAAGAAATAAACAGTTAAATTAGGAGCACTATAAATGGCTTAGTGCAACTTACATCCATGAGATAAAGTTGAGAGACTAGCAG